TCCTCAAGAGAAGCCAGTATTCCACACAGCTATCCCTGTTCGAATCCCCAGTCCGGTAAGCGTGACGCACACCAGTCACACACACTAGTGCCCAGGACCTCACAAGCAGGAAGACAGGAAGAAGGGGATCATGGTGTGACCAGACCCTGGGGAGGGTGTCTCTCTCTCTCTCTGTCTCTCATACACATACATGATTTACCATGAATTAAAAAATAAATAAATAAAAGGAAATTAGAATAATATACAAAAGAAGAGTAAGATAGATGCTTATTTCCAGACAGGGGGCCAGGAAAGCACCTCCTTATATCGGAAGAAGCTTTAGATTTCATGGTTTATTACCCCAGGGGCCAGGCCAACCTGAACTACAATAGTGAAACACAAAAACACAAGTAAAAAAAAAAATATTATAGTTAGCATCCAAATATGCAAAATATGAAGCCCCTATTAAAGAAGAAATCCACCCACCCTTTTGGCTACTTCAGTAAATCAAGCCTTCTCTTTTCCTGTGGTCTCTGCCAGCCCCTGTCTTTATATGTATCTAGTTTTTATTTGCTGGTTGTACCCATAGTATAGGTATTTATTTATTTATATTTTAAAAGAATTATTTAATTTTATTTATTATTTAATTTGACCAGAGAGGGAGAGAGAGTTAGAGTGAGAAAGCAAGCCACTAGGTCCAAGACTTGAACCTCAGTTGGCCATGTGGGAGTCTAGCACCCCAACCACCACACCACCTGCCAGGCCCGAGTATACCCATTTAGTCATCAGAAATCCAAATTTTCATTAGAGGGATTCTCCATTGAAATAACGTTCTTTCCGTTATTTTCCTCATTCTGAGCTTATTTCCTGTTTGCTTATCGTTTTCTCTCAAATTTGTCTTTTTCAGCAGAAATACAAAAAGTATAAAACCAATTGTTTTGGGGCAGGCAGGTGGCATGGTGGTTGAGGGCGTTGGACTCCCACATGGCTGACCATGGTTCAAGTCCCAGACCTGGTGGCTTGCTTTCTCACTTTCTCTCTCTCTCTCTTTCTCTCTCTCCTTTTTTTTTCCCCCCGCCCTCTGGTCTAATTAAAATAAGTAAATAAAATAGTTAAATAATTCTTAAAAAAAAAAAAAACCAGTTGTTTTTGTAAGAATTTTCTTATTTAACTTTATTTTAATTTGACCAGAGAGGGACAGTGCGTGCATATGCATGTCTGTGTGTGTATGAGAGAGGGAGAGAGCAAGTCACCAGGCCCAGGACTTGAACTGCAGTCAGCCCTGTGGGAGTCCAGTGCCCTTAACCACCACGACACCTGCCAGCCCCACAACCAGTTTTTTTTTTTTTAATTATTTAATTTTTTAATTCATTGTCATTAATTAATTAATTAGTTAATTAATTTGAAGTTGACCAGAGAGATACAGAGAGGAAGAACAAAAGCGACAAAGTAAGCTGCCTGGTCCGGGATTTGAACTGTGGTCAACCACATGGGAGTCCAGCCACCTTAACCACCATGCCACCTGCCAGCCCCTACAACCCCAGTTTTTAAGGAGTTGGTTTTCTTTTTTTTCTTTCCCTGTCATGGAGCAGGGAATGTCATCATTTTCATATGCTTTATTAGAACTCTTGAAACCGAACAAACACTAAGAAAAATTATGTCTGGGAATATTTTTGAAATCTCCATGCCTTTGAGTGACAGAGACAGAAAGGTGAAAGGGTGACCTCTAAGGTTTCTTCCAGCTTTCGAACTCCTGGATTCCACGGCAGGTCCTAGTAGACACAGGTTTCCTGGTAAGACTGAGCAGGAAGCATGCACGATTACTTTATGAGTGTTGATAAAGTTGGAGCTTCAGGTTGGGCTCGAAGGGTTTAACTGGGAAGTGAGAATGCTAGCGTTCCGACCATGGTTCAAGTCCCAGACCTGGTGGCTTGCTTTCTCACTTTCTCTCTCTCTCTCTTTCTCTCTCCCCCCCCCCCCCGCCCTCTGGTCTAATTAAAATAAGTAAATAAAATAGTTAAATAATTCTTAAAAAAAAAAAAAACCAGTTGTTTTTGTAAGAATTTTCTTATTTAACTTTATTTTAATTTGACCAGAGAGGGACAGTGCGTGCATATGCATGTCTGTGTGTGTATGAGAGAGGGAGAGAGCAAGTCACCAGGCCCAGGACTTGAACTGCAGTCAGCCCTGTGGGAGTCCAGTGCCCTTAACCACCACGACACCTGCCAGCCCCACAACCAGTTTTTTTTTTTTTAATTATTTAATTTTTTAATTCATTGTCATTAATTAATTAATTAGTTAATTAATTTGAAGTTGACCAGAGAGATACAGAGAGGAAGAACAAAAGCGACAAAGTAAGCTGCCTGGTCCGGGATTTGAACTGTGGTCAACCACATGGGAGTCCAGCCACCTTAACCACCATGCCACCTGCCAGCCCCTACAACCCCAGTTTTTAAGGAGTTGGTTTTCTTTTTTTTCTTTCCCTGTCATGGAGCAGGGAATGTCATCATTTTCATATGCTTTATTAGAACTCTTGAAACCGAACAAACACTAAGAAAAATTATGTCTGGGAATATTTTTGAAATCTCCATGCCTTTGAGTGACAGAGACAGAAAGGTGAAAGGGTGACCTCTAAGGTTTCTTCCAGCTTTCGAACTCCTGGATTCCACGGCAGGTCCTAGTAGACACAGGTTTCCTGGTAAGACTGAGCAGGAAGCATGCACGATTACTTTATGAGTGTTGATAAAGTTGGAGCTTCAGGTTGGGCTCGAAGGGTTTAACTGGGAAGTGAGAATGCTAGCGTTCCTGGTTACTGGACATGCCGCGGACTATATGTCATCCTGCGGTGACCGAGGCCACTGTGGCCAGGGAGAATGGTGGCCAGGTGAATGAGGTAACTTGGAGGGCCCATGGAAGTCGGACTGGGCTGCCGCCTCCTCACTGGACATCTCCCTGTAAGTGTGCACTGCAGTCTTTGCGTGGCGCAGGTCCCTTCAGTTCCCGTCCGCTGAAATGACCTAGACATGACTAAATCATCATTTGATGGCTTAATATCGAAAAAGAATATTGGTAAAGATGCTAAATTCGGGACGAATTGGAAGACTAGTAGAGTGATCCTTCTAAAAATATTATTTGCATAACCTTTAATATTGGAGTTAAGGAACAGGGGTCCCCAGAAGTTTCCATCCCAATTCCCCAAATCAAAATTTCTATTAATGTAAGCTGACAGCCAAAAAGGCTCAACCCAGTCTAATTCAGCAGTATCTGGCTTTTTCTCACATGGGCAAGTCGGTTTCCCGTCCGTTTTACCTGTCACAACATCCTTTGTATCACTTTTATAAAACCCTATCACTTTCCATAAAAAGCGACTGGAAGCGTCTAAAGTCACATTGCACACGTCCAGTGCCCTGGCTTTTCTCGTAGGCACCCGGGTGCCTGAGCTGACCTCTGCTCGGAGCAGGTACACTGCCAGGAGGAGCTGAGGGTCGGTGCAAAGCAGAGCCCAGCCCAGTCGGGGATCCCTTTCCCCCTTTAAAGGGATCAGGCCGAGGACGAGGACGAGGACGAGGACGAGCAGGAGACCTCGCAGCACCTTTTCCACCCACCTGCCAACTCCCTCTCTCCCATTGGAAAAAACTTCCTCCCGTGACCCCCCTATTCGACCTGGTTGCAGTCGCTCCCAGCACCCCCCATCTTCACCGGCTTCCTCTCTCCTGCCCAGAATCCAGGTCCCCAAAGCACTTAGCAGGAAACTGACACCCCTCACCCTTGCCGGGCGTCCCGAGGAGGCGCTGGCGTGGGGGTGCGGGTGGGGAGGGCGCGGGGTTTTCCGGGGTTCCCGGGGTCCAGCTCGCGCCCCCCCGAGGTGTGGCGGGGGGAGGGGAGCGGGCGG